CCCATGGAAAAATAGTTTCTTATCGTGTCATGGTTTTCACATGACACATCATCGAATATGAATACTGAATGAGGTTTAGCTTCACCAGGTTGTAGTATTTCACTGCTTGCATCGAATTTAAATAAAGATACCTCTTTAACGTCCGATATTATTTTATCTAGTAGCTGGTATTTAGGTTGAGCCAATGATTTGGAAAATATATACACATTATTAAACCGCAAACCATGTGGGTTTGTTAACAAGTTAAATACAACATTAGTTTTCCCACAATTGGACGGTCCACTTACTATAGACCTTACACTGTCTGGTAATAATTTACCATGTTTACCTTCTTTGAGTTTTACATTATCCACAGTTAAATTGTCTATATTTTCAATTTCAAAAGAATATCCATTGTGTATAATGTCCATGACATCACTCTGTGAAGGTTGTTTCATAAATGACGTTTTTTATATAATATTTTCTTTAGACACCCAAGAGTCTTCACTTTTATCAAAACCAAGCCAACGAACCAAAACCTTATCTTTTTTACGTTTTAAAACTTTTTCAACAAGGTAAATATTTCCTGTAGAAGATTTTAACATCTCATGACCATAAAAACCTCCATGTAAAATTTGGCCTTTATTGTCCTTCAAAATATATGTTTCTGGGTACGTTGGTTGCACTCTATAAACAGTGAAAACTTCGTTCGTCCAGTTAGGTAGGTATTTCTTACTAAATATCCCCTTATATTTACTTATACGGACTTTGTCACCTTCAACAAATTTATGTGGTAAAATCTTTTCAACCTTTGGACGTGTGCTTCTTTTAATGTTGTTCAAAACTTGTTCTGAATTATTTTCATTTACTTCACTTGGGGTCATACCTATCGTTCTGTGAAACCTATTGTTGTAGTTGTTCAACAATTTTCCAAGAATATCAATCCACACGTAAGAACCTCTATTTGAAAATTCCTTAAACAAATCTCCTTTTATCGTTCTATTAAATCTTTCGATAATTGCGGCCTTTTTTTCAGATTTTGTTGAATAATGATTTATATTATATTTTTTCATTAACACTGAAAAGTCCTTATTGAAATATTCTTTTCCATCGTCAGTTTGCAAATGTTTGATAACGTTATTATCCCTCTGGATAACAGTCTCCATAGCCTTGGTCACACTTTTTCCGGTTTTATCCTTCAAAGGCATGGCATCAGCAACTTTTGTGAAGCAGTTTATCACGGTCAGTATATATTTAAATCCCTTGTTAAATTTACTGTAAGGTATCATTTCAATTAGATCTGCTTGGTATAAGTCATTAATTCCTTTTAGAACTGTATTCCTCCTTGGAAAGTTTTTCCTTGCAGGTTTATGAATTTCAGATACAATTTGCCATTTAGAAACCATATTCAATCATAACATCCGTCGTACGGCTCAGTCGGAGTAATGGATATCTCTGATATTTATCAATTATTTATATTGGTCAAGGTCATTTTAAAATGTGTAAAAAAGAGGGGGGGGGGGGAATAAACCCCCCCCCCCTCTTCTTTACGGGGAGGATATTGGGACAGAGAAATGTGATATATAGGATAAGCTAAGAAACAGCTTGGATTTATTAGGTTAATTAGTTACGATTGAATAATGTCCAAAAGGAAGTGTGTCAATACCATTTTCCAGTATGTATCTTTTGTTATCATTGGATGTTATTGCAATCTTCTCTTGCACAATCGTATATAGTCTATGGTTGAAGCTTCTAATGGTTTTGAAAGTTGCAATATGAACTTGGTTTTCAAATAAACACTTTTTAAAATGTTCAAACTTGAGTTTCTTCTTCAAATATGAACTTTTAATTCCTTTCGCCTTTTTTATTACACCAATATCGCTGTCGGTGCTTTCAGTGTATAATTTTAATGAGTATAGTTTTGACATTAGTGCTACTACTTCTTCTAATGGGATTCCGTTTGTTTCGTCTTTAAATTTTCCTAACACCTTTTTGTGTTTACCCATTGTCATAGTTAGGGTGATCTACGGGTAGTCGGAAAAGTCGAAATCGTCTTTATACATAAATGTTCGTAAATCTTCATACATATCATGAGTTTTGATCCAATAAAGATATGCGTCGGTATCCATATATATAATTCCAATATTGTCTCTTCCGTAAAATGAAACCATCTTGTTATAATGAAAGTCGTACATGTGTGTTTTTGAAATGTCAAGTATACACATACCAACATACATAGGTCTATCCATTTTAATAGTAGTTTTGTCCATTGACACACAAACAAGATTTTCATTTATGATAATAGATGATTTAAAATTTGGTTGTCTTACAAGTTTTTCTACCTTTTTGGGATCCGACACTAACTTAACATTTTTATGTTTTCTTTTATTTTCTAGGGTCTTTCCAAATATTGCATTATTCATCAGCTTAAAAAAGTCTTTTTGGAAAGCCGATGATGCTGCAGCTCTTCTTTTTGTGTTTGAGTCAATGTATGTTTTTAACCAACATGATTGATTAAACTGTAAAACACGGTGAACCTTTTTTAATTTTAGACCAAGTTCGATGGCTTGTTGGACAACCCAAAAATGGGCAACATAGCGTTCCTTGTCGTTAAGCGTCATCATCAGCTTAGGATGTTTTCCGTCTGGTGGTATTTCAGATTTAGCTAATAGAGGTAAATCATAGTGATGATCATGAAGTGTGGATGGGTATTCAAAATCACACTCCATTATGAATCCGGTGTCTCCATTTTTTGGGATACTTGTTACATCACCTAATAATATTGGATCAATCCATTGAAAATTACCATATGGAAGTGGGTTTGACATTGCCCACCCATATAAGTTATTGGCGTCAAAATACCCTAAATAAACTGATGGGTCCTCCTTCTTGAAGTTTGGAATGTGTTTATTATTTGCTTTGACATGCCTTGTTACACTCTGGGTAAGTCCCCCACGGATACTAGATTCAATCATAAGCACCATATCAATGTCTGTTAACAGCTGTAATGTACATTTTGTTTCTTTTAACATAGCTTGCCAAGCTAATCCAGGCGAGGTGTATGAATGTAGAGGGTCTAATCCGTAGGCCGCTATACAGGTGTTACGGAATTCCTCCATTATATCACAAAGAAGTGTTACATCTAACTTCACATAAAAGTCACTATACTCGCCTAAGGTGTTCATGTTTAACTCACTCCATACCTGACAAGCATGTTGATAGTCTTCAGGGTCAATATTAGAATCATTTAACTGACTGTAAAATGCCTCAATGGGTGGTAGTGAGGTCTCGTTAAATCTTTCAGGATTATCAATATAATCATAAGGGTACACTCCTTTACGAAGAACCAAATCCATGTGATCAGATGCGACAATCTTTTGAGTTTCAATAAAATGTTCTCTTTGCAAATTAGCTGTCAATTTCTCTAAACTAGAAGCCATGAATCTGAAAGAGTCTACAAACCTTAATTTTATTTTACCCACTTTTTTCGAAAAACTAATAAATTTCTCCGTACTTGTAGCTAAAACATCAATCGCCCCTTTGTCTCTACCTAATTCAGGAATTATGAAATGAGAGTCATATCCACTTAAATTGTGGAACACTATTGGGATAAACTTTGGTAATTTAAAATTAATGTTACAACTGTTGCAAGCAGGGCCTTTGTAAAAACCAGTCAGGTGATCATGATCCCGAACACGCCTGTTGTCTTCTGTAAAACTACAGTCACAAAGGTAACATCTATCCGCACTTTCATGGAATGTCAATTCATCATGTGTAAGATTAATCATTGGAACTACATAACTATACAGTTTTTCCACCTTATTAGCTATATCATAAAGGTTATCTACAAATGACTTAGCAGCATTTTCACCGCGATATACAAGTGGTTGGGTTGTCAACCCGTACTGACGTAAATGATCTTCATCCAAAGTTGATTTAAGCATTAAACAAAAGCTGTTTGGTTCATGAAATTGAATTTTTTTAATTTTGCTTTGATCACACTCATCTAAAACTAAAGGAACTAACGATGACTCAAAGTCTGCATATATAACAATTGGTATTCGATATTGTTGAGCCGTTTTGTTGAATTTAATAAAAGCTCTATTAGGGTGAGGTAATTTAACCCTTACTTCGTCCTTACTATTGCAGAGACGTTGGTGGTCAAGTAACCATTCCTTACCCCCCAAATGAAATGGTTTGGCAGCGTAGCAAAAACACCGTTTGCAAATGGTGAGACTCATCTTCCTTTTGGATAACTGTCTTGATAAAAGTGCGTAAAAGTTTTTTATGTAAACATAATGTGAGATTTTACCATTTGTAAGAAGTAAAAGATCTGTATGGTCTCTACGTTCATGAGATGTAATCTGAATAGGAAACACATTATTAGACTCATCCAATCCATACACATTAACGGATGAATTAAGATTTTGTTTTTCGAATTTCTTGATATCTTTTAAAGACACTGGGTAAACCAAACCTGTAAAATTATATTTATGAGCCACTTCACTATAATAACGGCTTGGTCTATAGGCGTGCCTGTCTTCAACAAACTTTGCTAAAAC